GGGGGGGGCTTTCTTTTTGTTTTCTTCCCACTTAGCAGCTTTTCCTTCCTTGATTCCTGGGTACACGAACAGGTCTATTGCAATCAGTACCCATCTCAATGAACTGGTCTGGTTGATATGATCATCACATGCCTTTGCGTAGAAAGTACTAGAAACCCTCGAGGCACCGGTCAAGCATGAAAGTGCGCATGCATTTTAGATGCGCCGGGGAAGATTTTTTTTTTTTTTGGGGGGGGGGGGGGGGGCGCAGAGGAGCAGCAGGGGAGCAGAGTAAGAAAAAAGCATTAGAAATGACAGCCAGAGGAGCACAAAAGCAAGGAAAAAGAAAAGTGAAATATAGAAAAGAAGAGAGGAGAAGTGCTAGATGAGGCAGACGAGGAAGCCACAGGTGATAGAAAGAAGTGGATAGAGAGAAGAGGAAAGGGGGGGGGGGGGGGGGGGGGCAGGGAAGGACGAAAGGAAGTAGGAGGAAAAAAAAAATGATGAGAAAATGAAAAAGCATTGATTGATCACAGCCACGCACCGAGCCGAAGTAGTGATGTGCCAGCGCCTTTGTCAATTCTGTTTTGCCAACTCCGGTTGGCCCCGAGAACATCATCACAGCAATTGGACGGTCGGGGTCTTTCAACCCCACACGAGCTCTGCGCACTGCACGAGATATGGCGGACACTGCATCGTCTTGTCCAACAACACGTGTCCGCAATGCATTTTCCAAATCCAGCAGCTTCTCCTTTTCATCAGCCGAAAGCTGTTGTACCGGAATGCCTGACCATATCGATGCGACAGCTGCAATTTCCTCAGGCCCTACCACAATACTGACACAAACAAAAACAAAAACAAAAACAAAAACAAAAACAAAAACAAAAACAAAAACAAATCAGCAACTCAGCTCCAAAGACACAGAGAGAAAAGGGGGAGAGGGGGGGAGAGAGAGAGAGAGAGAGAGAGAGAGAAGAGGGGACAGAGAGAGAGATGTTCAAAGACTAGGAACCATTTGTATGTCATGGACAGTTGATTTGAAAAGTGAACAATTTGAAAACTGAACAATACGTAAAGAGTCTACAGACTAAACACAGTGCAGACTCCAGTACAGGATTAACTCCACGAAGCTGAACCAGTTTTTCAGCAAATAAAAATAATAATAAAGTGGCTACAAAAAAAAAAAATGGGATTTGAGTTTTCAATTTTGAACTCATGACTTCTAGCGCGACAGACCMCCTTTTTCAAGCAAAAAAAAAAAAAAAAGGCAGGCTAAACTACAGTAGGCTCTACTACTCTACTATCCAAGTGTCTGAAGACTCCGAACCTTAAAACCAGTCAAACAAAAAAAAAAAAACAAGAGAGAAATACAATCAGGGTATGCTGTATGTATTGGGGGTGTAGCCCCATTTCTGTTTCACGAGCAACTCACGCAACCACCACAGCCCGGGAAACTCAGGCCTCGTCAACCACTCACTCGACAGAAAAAGACAAAACTTAAGGAAGGCGCCTCTTTCCGCATTCTAGCAGAAGATACATTCAAACCTTCGCAAATATGGTGAGAAGTGCAGTGAGGTCATCTCGCTGTATTGAGCCCAATTATACTTTCTCGCAACAAGAACTCTCATCGTAGTAATGGGCCCATTTTTGGGAACCTAGGTCCAGGATTAAATCCACTAACAACTGCCTCTACTACCGTCTTCACCCGAATAGAGCGCCTGGTCATTATAGTCGTATTTGGTGCAATTTTCAGTCCAGATACGGCTATAATGACCGGGCGTTCTATTCGGGTGAAGAAGGTAAGGGCGGCATCGGCATATATCCTAGCCATAGTATTTCATATTACATCTGCTTCTCATCTAGGGGCGGCGTCGGCAATTATGAGATATACTGTACTTGTGCTTTGGAAGTACGAAAATCTTCCGCCCTATAACAACCAGAGGAACAGAGGGGGGGGGGGGGAAACATCTGAAGAGTCGTGTGCCGCTTAACGAAAGCTGGGATTACTTTTTCGTTGACAGCACCACGGTAAGAAATGCAGCTGGCCCCTAAGTGTTTCCATACTAGGTCGTAGGTACCCTCTATACTAACTTCTTCCCCCGAATACAACGAACGGTCATTATAGCTGTATTTGAGGCATCTTTCAGTCTAGATACAGCTATAATGATCGTACGTTGTATTCGGGGGAAGACGGTAGTGCACCACACAGATGCCTCGAACAACACTTTGGTCGACAGGATAGGTTGCGAATTCAAATTTCAAATCCTGTCACTTACTCGAGGAATTGGTCCCCGGGTCATGCTCCTAATGGGATAAAGTGCACTGCTGAAAGGGCTGGCCCATCACATGGATGGGGTGTCGAAAAATGGAAGACTCAAATCCGGATGCTGATCGCAAGCAAGGTGCGCGTGCAAAGTGGACGCATGATTCGTAACTTTCTTTTTGGATTCTTTTCGCTTCTTTTTTGGTGAATGCATGCAAAGTGGACATGCTGCCCATGCTCCAAAAGACTTTGAAAAGAATCCAGAAAAAAAAGCAAACGCCATGGTTGCATCCCTGCCGACCGCCGACCCCGACTGCCGACCATATTGCAGCGACCAGTAGGGCCGACCGGTCGGCGGTCTGCCGACCAGTCAGAAAACAACCATCCACTAATTTTTTTTCAGATCTGAGTTGGAAGCTGTACTGCGCTTGCTGAGTACAGCCGCTGAGAAACTTTTGGGGATGGGGGG